TGTAGAAGGTGAATACTGTGGTGCCGGCTTTGATTTTCTAGTTTTGATCAGTGTAGCCTGGTTCTGGTTCTGTAAGGTGTTAGCATTAGAGGAGGCTGTGGGGCCCCTCCAGACCATCTTTGCGACTCTTCCAGAAATCTAACATTCTTTCAAAATAAAAAGTTCAAAAGCCAATAGATGGCTTTGCAGCAGTGTTTAAGGCCACCCTTTTGGAGTCAGACCAACCTAACTTATAATCCTACCTACCAGACCACTTACTACCTATACTGTATGATCGTGGGCAAATCGACAGCCTGTAGTCTCTCTGAACTTCATTATTAAATGGCCGGCACCATGGAAACACTCAGTGAATGGCAGTTGGTTTTGCTGCAGTACACACTATTCAAAGCAAAGTTATTACTGTATTCCATTCATAGCAAAGTGTTATTACCACAATAGGTTAAGACTATGGCCTGAACTCTCCTTTTCACTATTTTCCAATACTCTCCTCCGAGCACCCTGACAAGCCCTGTCCTTAAGCCACATCCACACATCGACTCAGCAAATACCTCTGAGTGTTCTAGCCGCCGTTCCGCCACCGGTGATACAGCAGTGCATGAAGCAGGCAAACATGGCTGCTGTAAACAGCTCACATGCTGGTGGAGACAGACAGGCAATAAATAAGTAAAATGTACAGTGGACTGGTTCTCAGAGTGAGGCCCCCGTCCGGCAGCAGCAGCGCCTGGCAGCTTGTGAGGAATGCACATTCCCGGGCCCCTCCAGACCCACAGACTCAGAGGCCTGGGGGTGGGCCCGGCAGACAGGTTAACAAGCCTCCCAGGCGAGTCCCCTCCCAGGTGACTCTGGTAAGTGCTCGGGTTTAAGAACCACTTGATACGATGTCAGTGATAATCAGTGTATTGGACTAAAGCAGGAAACGGGGCGGGTGCCCGGGTGAGGAGGGGGTTGCAATTTTATTTTATTTTATTTATTTTACTTTTTATATTTTTATTGATTTCAGAGAGGAAGGGAGAGGGAGAGAGAGATATAGAAACATCAGTGATGAGAGAGAACCACTGATCGGCTGCCTCCTGCACGCCCCACACTGGGGATCGAGCCCGCAACCCTGGGCATGTGCCCTGAGCGGAAATCGAACTGTGACCTACTGGTTCATAGGTCGACGCTCTATCACTGAGCCGCGCCGGCTGGGCTGGGTTTGCAGTTTTAATAGGGCGGTCAGAAAAGCCTAACTTTGATGACGACATCTGCTCAAAGATACAAAGAGGATGAGGGAATGGGCCTCCAGGGGAAGACTGTTAGGCAGGAGGAATGGCAACTGCAAAGGCACTGGGGCAGGAGCAGCCTGGGGTGTTCAAAGAACAGCAGTTGGACTGGGATGAGCAAAAGAGAGAGAGCGGGAAAAGAGGTGGAAGGTCATGGGGCTCCAGACTACCCATGTACGGAATGCATGGGGGCCACTGTCCCCAGGAAGTCTTCCCTGATCATCGCCTTCCCTGATCCATCCACAGTGGGGGCCATGCAGGGCTCAGTATGGGACTCGCCCAGTAGGGACTTGTTAGCCATTGCAAAATGTTTTGACATTCCCATATTGGAACATAGTTTGTCCACAAACATTCTACCTCTTCCTATGTAGGTTAGAGCCCTCCCTCACCCCCAGCCCACCTGCCTGGCCTGGTCAGTGGCCCTAGGCCATCCCTCTCTTCCTTAGATGCCCCACTCCATGCTGTCGGAACGGGGCTCTCCCATCCCTGACGCCACAGGCGCCTTGGTTTACCCCCAGCCACATGCATCCTTGCCCGAGTATAGGCCTGGCCTGTATTTTGCCCTGTTGGGTTGTATCCACCTGAAAGAGAAACGTAGACCTTCCCCCCTGTCCTCCCACTGCCCATCACAATGTGCGTGCATTGCAGTGTTACAGAAATATTTACCGAATTTCCCTTAATGCATCGGGAGAGAAACCAACGCATTACTGGCACTGGCTAAGTATTACAAATGTTGCCAATGATTTTGCAAATTCCCTCAGAGGTAATAAGAAAAGAAATTTATAGATTTATTCTCCAACCACAGAAGCATTTTGGATGCAGTTGTAGGACTCGCCCAGAGTTTGACTGAAACCTGCAGAGTCACGCCCGATCCCCAGCCCCTCTCCCTGTGCCTGGTGCCTGCTGGGCCCTGTGCTGGCGATGGCTCGAGTATCGCGAGTATCGCGGGAGTATCCTGGATTTACTGCTAGCCTGGGCCAACAGGGACCGGGTGGGAGGTGGGTTTGAATTCCTGCTCCACCCACAGGGGGTTCTTCCCTTTTTCTTTTTTTATTATCATGAATCCCATGAGCACCTGGGGAAGCCTGGGGGCTGTTTCAGGACTAGAAGCTTTTAAAATAAAACATAAGATTAAAGAGGAAACACATTTTACTGACATAGAATTAAAATTATGTTAAAAGTTATCAGAAGGCCCTCCCCTCCCTTCCCATCCCCATCCCCTTCCCTTCCTTTCCCTCCCCTCCCTTCTCTTCCCCTCCCTTCCCCTCCCCTCCCCACCAAAAAAAAAAATGTTATCAGAAGATTAAAAAAATAAATTTGTTAGAGTAATATTTTTGCCTCCTCGTTCAGTAACACGATCTAGAGGCAAATCTAATCAGGGCCAAAGCCCTGACATAACACTGAGCATAAGAGAGGTGGGGAGCCGCTCCCAACGACCGTCACATGACAGGGAATGAGCTGCACTTCCTGCTGCTGACATGGACCCAGGATTGCCATTGCTGCAGTGGTTTGTGGGGTACACTCACGATGGAAGGAAATGCCAGATTTTTAGTTCGTCTCTGACTCTGACTGTGAGCGGTGAGTAGGGGGAATAATATTGCTCCATCCTATTTCATTCTGTATGCTATACAGAGACCCTTTAGCCCCAGAATAGAAGTGGGGACAAATTCCCTCTCCCAATTTCACTATTCATATCTGTAAAACGATGCCAAATGGCAGCTAGATTTCTAGCAGGAGCGGTAGGAGTTAAAGACTCCCTGTAAATAGTCTGGAATATGCTCTGGGTCCTTTCTTCGTTCTAATCTCACCAGTGTCGGATCTATGAGCTGACCCTCCGGCACTCATCTTTTCCGGATGAGAACTCCTACTCCCCAAGTGTCCCCGCCCACCTTGGGGAGGACAGCCTGGCCGCCAGAAGGGACGCCCAGCAAAGAGTACATACTCCTGGTGCAGTCACTCCACCTGCAGCCACGCCCACCTGCAGCCCTAAGTTAGGGAGGGGCACTGGTGAGTCCAGGAAGAAATGTGGGGGCTACAGAAAAGGGGATAGTACTTGGGACAATCTACCCTAACTCACACCTCCTCCACAGGGTGCCTGGAAGACTCGATTGTTTGCCAAACAAGGTCCTCTTTATGTCTATAGTCATGGTCTCAGCGAGGATTTTCTCAAAGCCCACCAGTACAGTCCATGATACCTTGCCTGTGCCCACCTGGCCCATGTCTTCTAACTCGTTCTCCACTTAAGTTCCACCTTAAAATAGTGTCTTCACTCTCCTTGAGTGACATGAAGTTGGGCTTCCACGCACTGGAAAGGGATTTCCTCTTGGCCGAGCCCTCAGATTGTTCTCTTCATAGACCATGCGATTTCTTCAAGCTCCACCGTGCGCAGCTCCTCAGACCGGTTTGCATCCGAGTCACCCAGGAATCCGGCGAATCCAGGCGGCTGGGTCCACCCCCAGCGACTCTGATTCTCTAGGCTGGGGGGCAGGGGGGCGGGGCGCTGAGAATTTGCATTTCCAACACACTCCCAGGTTTCTTTACCTCTGGGAGCCCGTTTCTTTATTATTAAAACAGGGCTGTCAAGGAGATGAGAAAAAGGTGAGATATGTAAATATATTCAAAGCACTAAGCCCCTAACAGAAATTTAATAACTACTCGTTCCTTCCAACGTTCCCTGGAAGGCGCACTGTGGGAAGAAGGCTGAGTCTTGAAGAGGCAGCAGAAATGAGCTGGGGAGGAAGGGAGTGAAGAAACAACAGTGCTGGGTGCTGGGGTGCATGGAAAACACAGACCATTGAGAAGCTGCCAGCAGCTACACTTGGCTGAAGCAGGCTCATGGGCCACATGTATATATGCAGGGACTTGATCATAAGGGCCTTTGTGCTGTTACACACACACACACACACACACACACACACACACACACACACCAGGCCAAAATGGAGTCACTTTTGCTAACGGAGTCGCCAAATCAAAACTCCATAACCAGCAGCATTGCAGCGTCAGCCTCTCCCAGGGGTGGAGCTTGAAACCAATCTGACATGTCCTACTCAATCCTCAGGTGCAAGTGAGATCCACAGGAACAGATGAAATAGCCCTGAGGGCTGAATGCTGGGAACAGCAACGTTTATGAGTAATCCCTAATGGAGCGCAAGTCAAGGTTAATGACATCGGGTGGGGCTCATAATATCGGTGAACAAGTAAACTCTGGTTTAAGCGGACATCAAGGTCTGCTTTTTTTTTTTAATATATTTTATTGAATTTTTACAGAGAAGAAGAGAGAGGGATAGAGAGTTAGAAACATCGATGAGAGAGATCGATCAGCTGCCTCCTGCACAGCCCCCAGTAGGGATGTGCCCAAAACCCAGGTACATGCCCTTGACCGGAATCGAACCTGGGACCCTTGAGTCCGCAGGCCGACGCTCTATCCACTGAGCCAAACCTGACGCAAGGTCTGCTTGATCAGTGGCACCCACAGCACCCAGTGCAGCACTCAGATGGGAGAAGCAATGCAAGAAAACATCCCCCAGAGGCGACAGGGCCCGGCCGACGTGGCTCAGTGGTTGAGCATCAACCTATGAACCAGGAGGTCACAGTCCGATTCCCAGTCAGGGCACATGCCTGGGTTGTGGGCTCCATCCCCAGTGGGGGCCATGCAGGAGTCAGCCAATCAATGGTTCTCTCTCATCATTGCTGTTTCTGTCTCCCTCTCCCTTCCTCTCTGAAACCAAGAAAAATATATTTAATAATAATTTAAAAAATAGGCCATAGGGCCCATGCCGGGAGCTAGAGGGAAGACAGCTGATCGTCATTAGGAGGTGGAGGCGATCCTCATATGCAGGTGAGCAGCGGCCCTTGTCTGTCGCCCTCTACAGATGGGTCTCTTCTAAGAAATCTGTTGTGTGAGTGAGACCCGCCCCCGCCCCCGATGTGCCAAAGCCTAGAAATCATCTGGGAGAAAGATACTGTGAACCACAAGTCGTCACAGAAATAAATAGCATTTCCTTTCCTCTTCTTTAAGACAGTCAAGACCCCCACATGGATTCGATTTCGTCCGGCCCCAGCTCTCCTGCCGGGCTCGGCCGCACCAACATGTACCAGCAGGGTCCGCGCAGCCCAGGCCTGAGCGCTCGCCTTTCCTGCCACCGGTTCCTGGCCGGGCTGACCCGAGGAGGACAAATGACCCGCCAGCCAGGTAAGGGGAGCAAGGAAACTAGCCCGGGGTCTGCGCTCTTCCTCTGCGGGGCTGACCCAGAGGGAGGAGGCCCAAGATTGGACCGCTGGAGGGGATTCCTGTAACCCTGTCTCCGCGTAGGGAAATCCAGTGCTTAGGAAAACACAAGCTATCAGATAAACGGGGGCAATTTCAAATGTATTCCCACCTTGAAGAGTGATGCAAGTAGCCATGTATTCTCTCTCGTCTTAGGGAATACATTCTGCAGACAATCAGGCACCTGCCGGGGCCTGGACCTCCCCCGATAATGAACCGGCCTTCGTTATCCTCAAAGATGTTTTCTAAGAAGAAAACCTGTGGCCCGACTCTTGGAAAAATGATTTCACAGAGCTTGGGCCTGGGTGTGGCCGCTCGGAAGGGGACGGGGCTCTGTCACAGGCTGAGAGAAAGTTTTCATCGGAAGGAACGGGAACACCTGTACTGGTGGAAATCCCGTCTCCGTAGACCTGTCCCCCGGAGGGGGCGGGTGGGGAGAAGCAATTCTGAGCCCATCAAGCTATTGAAACAGCCCAGCATCAGGCGAAAGGCCTCCTCAGAGGACACCCGGTAACACCTGTGCCTCCAGGAGTGCCTGGGGCTGGAACGAACTCTTCTCACAGGCAGCACCTGTGAGCCTTCTGGAAAGATTGGTTCCCGCCTGCCATGACTCCTGGGAATGCTAAGGCTCAAAGCTTTGCATCTAAAGATAAGATCTCTGAAGGCAGTGCCCCAAGGGAGGGAAGGCCTAAGGGGCCTGGTTCCCCGGAGGAGGGGGACTCGGTGGGCGCTCCCTCAGCCCCATGGTCATGTCTGCAGTTCCCCCTGAGCTCCCCCAGGTGGGCCTGGCCCCGCATCTGCCCATCAGGCCCAAGCCCAACAGGAGTGAGACGGCTTCTCTCCCGCGTGGTTTCACAGTAGATGCATCTGTACAGGGAGGAACTGCTCGCACCAGTCCCTGGACCACCTGCCGGAGACGGAAAAACTGTTCTCCCGGGTCAGACACTGATTCAGTCCTGCTGGTGGGATGAGGTAAGAATTCGCTTGGGTGGTGCCTGAGCAATTGTTCTGCTTGTTTATTTGTTTGCTATGGGACATTTCCCCCAAGAAAACCCACAGGAGCACCCTGCGTAAAGGCCCAGCTGTCCGGTGGCGTCGGGAGTTGGTTCTCTCTGGTTCCCTTCCCTCCTGGGCTCCCCTGCCCCTCCGAGGCCTCCTTCGGGTCACCCGGGACCCCCAGGGATCCTCCATGAATATCTCTAAGTGTCCGCTCCCGGGTTGGATTCCTGCACGACTAGGCTCCATGAGCAAGGCCCCTATCCAGCAGAGCCCGGCTCACTTCATCTGGTCTGTCCTGTGCCTGCTGCTGCCCGGTGCCCCTGGGAGACCCCGGCACGAAGCCGAGACAACCCGGCAGCTCCCACCCAGGACGGGGGCTGTGGCGGGTCTCCTGGTATTCCATTCGTCCAGGCCCTGATCCAGTAAGAGCCTCGTGGCTTCCTCCTCTGACTCCCCCTAATATTCGTTGTCAGCAGCTATGAATAACACCCACATTCCAGAGCTACCCCAACGGACTGAATTGATCATCTCAGAATGAATGTGTCCGTAATACGTGCACCAAAAGCTAACCAGTGTGTTCTGGTGGGGGAGGAGGAGAGAAGGGCTACCTTATTTCCGTGCGTCTCGTGGCCACAACCCACTTGAGGTGCTGTCGTTGCTGCTCCTGAATAATGCAGAGGCAGGGTCACACGTGTCATGGAGGGAGCCTATAATTAACATCGGAGCACACGCATTAGACTCTAAATTGACTCCGCTTGTTCTTAAAAGGGTGGGGGAGAGAGGGAGAGGGAGCTTGGCCTCGATTTTTATTCAGGGAAACAGCCTTTTGTGGTTTCATAATTTTTGTGAGGAGCCAAGAACACATTTAAGGTACAGTCGCTGCTTAAATGACACAGCCATCTTATAGAGGCTGCCTCAAGGTTCCGAGACTAGCAATGCCATGATCCACGGGGTAGCCAGTGGGATGCCAGATGTGATCAAACCCTACACCATTCTCCCCCCACCACCTCATGTCCTGAGAGCAAGGCAATTAGTAAACATCTCTCAGAACTGCTGCGTTGCTCACAGTGCAATTTGCATGGTATTCACCCGACATGTTTATATGCAGCTGATAAGGAAAGCCGGCCCACATCTGTGACAAAAAGAACCATTCTTGTATGCCACCTTCTTTTGTTGGGCCTCTGTGGACAAGCTGGTGGGATTGGGGTATTTCTGAAAAGCCAAAGAGAGTGGGAGAAAGGCCAAAACAGGGGAGAGGGGGGCAGGGGGGTAGAGGAGGCATCCGGGGTGGCTTCGTGGTTGTGATCCCCAGAGGCGCTGGAATCAGAGATGTTTTGGAAGCACCAATGTTGGGCTCCACCTCCCGAGGTTGTGACTTGACTGGGGGTGGGAACCAGCCACTGGCATTTTCCACGTGTCCTTGGGAGTTCCTGTAGGCAGATGGGGTTGAGAACCACTGGAGAGCAAGGTCTGGGTGTCAGAGCTGGGCTGAAAGTCCCAACCCCGACAGGCAGAATTACTCTTCCTGTGTTTCCCTCATATATTAAAGGAAAAGAAAGCCCGGCCGGCGTGGCTCAGTGGTTGAGTGTTGACCTATGAACCAGGAGTCACGGTTCAATTCCTAGTCAGGGCACATGCCAGGGTTGCAGGCTCAATCCCCAGTGTGGGGCGTGCAGGAGGCAGCCGATCAGTGATTCTCTCTCATCACTGATGTTTCTATCCCTCTCTCCCTCCCTGAAATCAATAAAAACATATTTTTTTTAAAAAAGAAAAAACCCATGCCATCGGGTGGCTATAAGCATTAAGTTAGTATATAGAGCATATAGTTGTTTCTCAATAAAGTCCACTCTTCTTCCCTTTAAAGAGGTACCTGAAGTCATCCAGGGAGAGAGAACGGAAGTGAGGATAAGAGAGGGGCCGGGCACGGCGAAGGTCCTGGGTACAGGATCGGTGTCTCTGAATTCTTTGCTACCTTTTGCTCTCTCCTTTTTTTCTGGAAAAAATACCCATGTCCATCAATGGCTGCTCCACAGGATGTGGTTCTACCCACTCGGTGATTTGCTGGACTTTGTCTGGGCTGGGCAGCTTCTGGGTACCGGCCATCGCATAGGTTCTCTGCCTGTGGAGGTGAAGCTATCAGGGGAACCTTTTCGTGGGAAGAGGATGGAGGCAGGAGGAGACTGACCAGGCCAGAGATATAGCTCTTCCGTGTCACACACGCCTTCTACCGCACGCACTGATTTTCTGCCAGCCCAGCCCTTCTAAGACGCCTCCGTGAGACAGCCGGGCATTCAGAGCTCTTTCCATTCGCATCCCTGAACGCACAGCCTACGGGAAATTCTGGAGGCAGCGCATGGAGCTGGAATGAGTAGATAGCAACCGTCGATGCCTTTGGTTCGTGGAGCCACCCTGGCCACAGAGGCAAACGTTGTACCCCAGGCCCGATTGTTCTTTATTCCCCTTGCACTTCACAAGCTGAAGGAAATGGGGCGGGGGATACACTTGATCCTCTGCCGGCACCCCTGCCCTGCACTGTTTGGCATCAGCCTGTGTCCAAGGGTGACACAATAGGGTTCCCTGCAGCCGAGGGGGCTGCCTCTGCTCCGTCGTGGGGCGTGGGGCCTTTTATTCTTATGTCTGCCTTTGCGCAGAGCTCCTGCCCAGCCCTGGGCCAGCTCCCTGGGCTGGGGTCTTTCCCAGTCCACACCCGGGGCTGGGTTTCCCAGTGTTCCCGCTGCAGAATCTCCCGCAGGCAGGGGGCTTCGGCCCGGACATCACAGCCCCGCTCAGGTGGGTGAGACGGGCCGGAGAGCGCGGGGGTGACGGTGGTCCTTGCTGCAGCCCCTTGTTCAAGGAACTGCCCGCCCGCCAGCCGTCCACCACACCGTCCAGCTGCCACTGTGGTTGGCAGCTCTGCCATTGATGTCTAGAATATTCAAATGGGCAGGATGGCTGCTCCCATGGGCAGGAAGGGACCCTGGATTCGGGGTCCTCCCTTCTCCCTTCCTCCGCCCAGACGCCCCAGCCCTGTTCCCTGCAGTCACCAAGCACCGGGAGCCGTGCAAGGGTGCAGCTATTTTTACTAGAGTGCGAAGGTCCTCAGGGTACACACTATATTTAGCAGAGGTTACAGTTCACATTACACCATCAGAGGGGCACAGGGTGAAATCATTAAACAGCCTGTGGACTTTTGCCGCCCTAATCTCTCTTTCGGTTCCTCCTGCAAACACCTCTAGCCCTTCCTTTTCTCAGGGAGAGGGAAAGAGAGAGACATCCATGATGAGAGAGAATCATTGATCGGCTGTCTCCTGCACGCCCCGTACTGGGGATCAAGCGCGCAGCCTGGGCACGTGCCTTACCAGGAATCGCACCATGACCTCCTGGTGCATAGGTCGAAGCTCAACCACTGAGCCACACCTGCCGGACAGCCCTTTGCTTTTTAGGCCTCGTGTCCCTCCTTGTGCCTCAGATGAGATCTGCCTATAGCCACCAGAACCCTCGAGTTAGCAGGAATCTCTGTGGAAATGTTAAATGGGACCCTTTCCAATGTGGAAAAGCATAGCCTAGACTCGCAGTGGTCGGCAAACTGGGGCTCGCGAGCCACATGCGGCTCTTTGGCCCCTTGAGTGTGGCTCTTCCAAATACCGACGACTTCTGCGCATGGGCCACGAAGTTTCAATCGCACTGTACATGCGCGCCCGCACGTGGTATTTTGTGGAAGAGCCACACTCAAGGGGCCGAAGAGCCGCATGTGGCTCGCGAGCCGCAGTTTGCCGACCACGGGCCTAGAGAGTCTTAGGAATGCAAGCTGCCCACCTGCAGGCTTGACAACTCTAAAGCAGCAGCCCTGCCTCCCAGCTCCCAGGGGGCTCAGGGCCCTGCTGGACCGCCTCCAGCCCCGCCCAGTTTCTGCCTCTGCTCTGGCACCGGTGGGGATCCAACGGGATCCAATGGCACTTCTTCAGACAGGGAGTCCCCACCACCCCTCATCGACAGGTTCTAGACCCTGCAGCGAAACTGCGTCTACTGAAACCTGTTTTACCGAAGGTCAGTTGCTCTAAGCAAGGGCTAAGTCCCTGTGGCGTCTCTTCAATGTTATAAGGAAACGGTATTCGAGGACCTGCTGCATCCCCGGCATCAGCTCCATCTGAGTCTGCGCGCCAGGGAGCCCTGCCTGACGCCAGGCCCAGGAAACCTTAGTGACCGTCCTTCAATGGCCCGACATTCCGTGGCTGCTTTTGGGGGGGTAAGGGGACAAGTTCCCACTGTTCCCGAAGCCACGCCGTCTAAAGACTTCCCTCAGTTCCTCAGTGAGCGAACCCAGGTTCTGCTGGAGCGGCCATCGTGTAGGTCACATGCGCAGATGCTCAGGTTTCCTGAAACGCCTGCAGGGTCTCGTTGCATGGGAAGGAAGGTTCACTCATTCACAACAGGTCCTCCTGTGGCTTATAAAACACCACAGGCAATGTCCTCTCTGGGTCTCTAGACTGGCCGTGACCTCTCTGCGTCTCTTCCCGTGAAAGTCCTAGAACGCAGGGTAGGGAGCGATGAGTGTGCTCGTCGGGAGTGTCGCTGCAGCAGGATGGACTGTCTGGCTGGGGCTGTTCCCCTGCAAGGGCAGCAAGGCAAAGGCAGCTGGGCCCGCAGCTCAGCCAGCCCTGCGAGGGCAGCACCCTGAGGAGAGCGGAAGGGTCCCCACATGTCGGGGGGTGGGGCGGGCAGATCCGGGTGAAATGGAGCGAATTCGGTCCACCCTGTCCCTCCCACGGGATGAGACCTGAGCAGGGGCGGCTGCAGGGCTCTGACAAGGAAGTGGTGGCGGGTGGACTGGGGAGGACAGCAGAGCTCAAGGTGCCACTGACCAGCCCTGACTTTCCCACGCGTCCTCTGTGTCCCCCAGGCTGGGTTTGGGGCAGCCCCAGGGTTTGAAAATGAGCACGAGGTAAGGCTGAAAGGGGCTCCCTCTCGTTCTGATGCAACTAACACTCAGCAAGTGGGCGGGGGGGGGGACCCCAACGGGTGTGAAAGGCAATTAGGTAGCATCTCTCAAACACTGAAATCTGCCTGCCTCTCAACCCTCAGCCCCACTTCTGGAAACTTAACCCACTGAAACACTTGTAATGTGCTCAAGGGGGTTTACTGTGGTCTTAGGTGTGATGGCAAATGAATATAATAATTAATAATTCATAAAACATGATAAATGACTATAGATGAACTTATACTTAAAGTATACAGAAAACATAAAGCATAGAATATCACACTACGGGTATAATGACCATTTTAGAACAGTTATATTGGAGCCGGGTCTACTGGCATGGGAAGAAGCTGTGATATATTGTTAAATGAGAAAGACGTTTGTTAAATAGTGTACACAATCCAGGTTTTATAATTGTGTGTGTGTGTGTGTGTGTGAGAGAGAGAGAGAGAGAGAGATGATAATTGACTGGAAAAGGAGCCAGAAAGATAAAAAGCAAACTGATATTAGCAGTTGTTTCTGAGGAGTAAGATAAGAAAGATAGAAAAGGTACTTGCACTTTTTTACCGTGTGTGTGTGTGTGTGTGTGTGTGTGTGTGTGTGTGTGTTATAACAAAGAACAAGTATTTTTAAAAAATAAGTTTTATTGATTTTGGAGAGAGAGAAAGGGAGGGGGAAAGACAGACAGAAACATCAATGTGAGAGAGAAACATCGATAGGCTGCCTCCTGCACATTCCCCGACGGGGAATTGAACCCGAAACCCTGGCACGTGCCCTGACTGGGATGGAACCCGGGACCTTCTGGTGCCCAGGATGATGCGCAGCCAGCGGAGCCACACTGGGCAGGGCAAGAACAAGCATCACTGTTGACATTTTTCTAAAAATGGAAAAAGACCTACTTAGGCAAGTTTGATAACAGTATCCTCCAGTGTTCTCATTTAGAAACTCACTGGCTAGCCTTTCACTGTTTCTGAGAATTTAGCATTTTATTCATTTTCCTTAAGAAAGGTCTATTATCTCATTTAGCATCTCCCGGCGCAGCGATTTTCAACCTTTTTCATCTCCTGGCACACAAACAAATTACTAAAATTCTGCGGCACAAGGCAGGACAGTTGCCGATCTGACAAAAAAAAAAAATAGATGTAATTTTGCTTCGTTCCCACCGGATGGCTATTGTTGTGTTGGCCGTTGTCGTTTTGTTATGTGACAATCGAAAGGAAAAGTGGTCTGTGCCCCTGACTAAACAGTCAGGTATTTCATGTTGTGAAAACCCTTGCAGCGCGCCGGTTAAAACATGGCTGTCCTAGTGTGTAAGTGTCCTATTGCTGCATAACAAATTACCTCTGAATTTACCAGCTCAGAACAACCAACATTATTTTTTTAATTTTTTTATTGATTAGTTTATTTGAGAGAGAGAGAGAGAGAGAGAAGCGTCAATTTGTAAAACAACCAAAATCATGATCTCATATAGTCTCTGCGGACCAGGCAGCCAGGGGTGTCTTGGCTGGGAGCATCCAGTCAGGGTCTTTCTGGAGGTTCAGTCAAGTTGTGGGCCGGGGCTGCGGTCCTCTGAAGGTCTGGCCGGGCCTGGAGGGTCCCCTCGCACGTCCCTCACACAGCTGCTGGCAAGAGAGCTGGGCTCCTCGCTGGCTGGGGCCAGAGGCCTCCGTTCCTCATCACACAGGACTCATCCAGGGCTGCTCACTGCGTGGCAGCTGGCTTCCCCTCCAGGGAGGAGTCAGGGAGACAGAGCGACCAAGGTGGAAGCTGGGACGACTCTTCAGTGTCATCTCAGAAGTGGCGTACGATCCTGCTGCTATAGTCAAGGGTCACACAGACCGACCTCGGTCCAGCATGGGAGGGGAATACACCAGACCACGAAGACCAGAAGGCAGACACCATCGAGGGCTGTCTTGAAGACTGGCTACCACAGCTGCATCGTTCCCTGCTCACTTTCTCTTCTCCCGAAGTTCATAGACCTTCTACTAGTAAGAAAGTGCAGCTCTATCCCTACGGCATCATTGATCCATATATTTTTTTTATTTTTTTAATATATTTTATTGATTTTTTACAGAGAGGAAGGGAGAGGAATAAAGAGTTAGAAGCATCGATGAGAGAGAACATCAATCAGCTGCCTCCTGCACACCCCCTACTCGGGATGTGCCTGCAACCAAGGTACATGCCCTTGACCAAAATCGAACCTGGGACCTTTCAGTCTGCAGGCCGACGCTCTATCCACTGAGCCAAACTGGCTAGGGCTCATTGGTCCATTTAGGGGCCCTGGAACATCCATTCCTTTGCCAAAGAAAAGGCTAAGCACTAATAGAAAACTCTAGTTTTCAGGAAGCCCCAGCCTTTTCCTGTGAACAAAGGAATTTTGATTGCCCTAAAGTGTGATGATTAAGGAGGATTGGGTGAAAGTGGGAATGTAAAGAATTGATCCAGAAAGAAAACATGGAGAATAACCAGGCGCCACAATGGGAATCCGTTCAACAGGGGTTGTGTCATACGCCCCTACCTTGCAGCCCAGTCTTTAATCCTTACAAGCCAGGACAGTCGCCTCTGTTCTCAAGTGGGAATTCCCATAAGCCACGGAGACGAGGAAGTGGAAAGCTGGCCAGCTTGTAGATCAGCAGCAAAGGCTACTGGGATCATCTGCTACTGAGAAAATATTAGATGGCAATCAATGAAACCTGTGGGTTAAAGGACCCCTATGGCTAGGCCCAAGAACCAAGGCATGGCATATCTGAGAATTTCTTGACATATGCATACACCTGATTGCAAAAGATGCATATTTATTCCTAGGAATAGGATTGAATGGTGTTATTCTGTATAGCACAGGTTCTGCCAAGCATTGAAGTCTTTCATAATATGCTTGTAGATACGATAGAGTAGGCCCAAGAACCAAGGCATGGCATATCTGAGAATTTAGAAGAGAATTTCTTGACATGTGCATGCACCTGATTGCAAAAGATGCATATTTATTCCCAGGAATAGGATTGAATGGTGTTGTTCTGTATAGCACAGGTTCTGCCAAGCATTTAAGTCTTTCATAATATGCTTGTAGATACGATAAAGGAAAGTAAGAGTTGATTCATCCTACGTTGAGCAATCCTAATGCAAAGAGTGCTGATTAAATCATTGTTGTCAACTTGAAAGAAGGACCAGGCCTCGGGATTTTGAATTTGGCCTTGCCTCATTTACCATAAACGATTTGAACAAAGAAAATGTGCTGATTACGTTTTCAAGTGCTATCGACTTGGACAAGAGAGCCAAGAAGTTGGATAATAAAATCTGAATTCCCAAAGGTCTCCCACAGGCTGAAATGATAGGACAGAACCCATGGCCTGACAATGAGCAGGAAGAAGCGGCATAAAACCCTGCCCAAGTACAAAATGGGAGAGACCTGGCACCAGACCAGCTACTGCAGGAAGGCTTGAAGGGAACTGCAAATTTAATATGAGTCAGCAGCTTGCCGGCTCTGCCAAGAAGGCAATGCAAGAAATTAGTCTGCATTGTCAAGGCCACGGGGCTGGGAATCAGGGAGCTCTTGATCTGATGAAATGCGGATCTCATCTGTGAAAATGTGCATTTCTGGAATGATTGACAGAGTCCTCTGTGACCGTATGTACCTCCTAACACCAAGGTTATACCGTTCTCGGTTTATAACACTTCCCTGAGTGACCAGTCTAGTAATTCTTTTTTTTTTTTTAAAGGAAATACATTGATTTCATTCTTTTTTTATTTGTTCAAATGATATCTATTGAGAAAAACATATTTTCCAGGTATTCTGCTAAAAGCCAGGAACACACAGATACATCTTATTCCAGTGATTCATTCAAACACCAATATAGGTACTGTTGTGAAGAGATTTGGCCGATGTAATTAAGGTTCCAGGTTAATTAACCTTAAGAGGAGAAATTATCTGGATGGGTCTGCCCTAAGCACATGGGCACTTCAAAAGTAGAGTTTTCACTGGTGGCAGAAGGATAAGTCACAGGTTCAAAGCATGAGAAGGACTTTAGGCACCATTGTTAGCTGGACAATAGAGGGGACCACATGGTAAGGAATACTGCTGGCCTCTGGGAGCTGAGAGTTGCCCCCAACTGACAAGCCAGCAAGGACCTCAGTCCTACAACCACAAGGAGTTGAATTCAACCACAGAATGAGCTTGGAAGAGGCATCTGAGCCCCAGAGGAGAAGGGCAGCCCTTGCCAACACCTTGATGTCAGCCCAGTGAGACCCTGAGCACAGCATTGAGCCACAGACACGATGCCCAGACTTGTAACCCACGGACACTATGAGGTAACAAGTCGGTGTTGTTTACAACACTGAGTTTATGGCGGTTTATTACACAACAATAGAAAACTAACACGGAATCGATAAACAATGAAGTAAGTGCTCTGATGGAGCAAAGTTGCAGCATAGCTGGTTGGTTGATCCATCCAAATCCATTTTCCCCTTCTCTCCCCTAAATGCATGTCAGTTTTGTTCAGGTAGCCACTCCTCGCCCATGATTCATGATCTGATTAACTGTACTCCTAGCTCCAAGTGAGGGGCTGGTTGGTCTAAAACAGGGTTGCTCAACTTTAGCACTGTTGACAGTTTGGCCTGGATAATTTGGGGGGGGCGGGCGCAGGGGTCCTATCATTGTAGGGTGTTTAGAAGCATCCCTGGCCTCTACCAAATGTGCACCAGTGGCATATGCTTTCCCTGTCCCCCACGGTGACAATCAAATGTGTCTCTAGATATTGCCAAGTGTCTTTGGTCTGGGGAGAGGGTTAGGGAGCAAAATCACCCCAGTTGCGAACCACTGACCTGAAGGTAAGTTCACCCACCTTGCTGATGATTGGCTAGAATAGGCATGTGACCACACTGGGGAAATGAGGTGCAAAGAGAGTTTGGGGAGCAGTTCTGAGAAGTGGTCCTCCCTTTTCCAGGAGGGTTCCTGGAAGTAACTCTTTCTCTGTTTCTCTAGATGTGGTTCCGGGAGCGGCCGCAGCCATCTCGAACCCAGCGTGGCGATGAAGCCAGTCCTGAAATCTGCCCTCCCTCTAGACTGCTCGTTATGGTGAGCCAGTTAATTTCCTTATTGTTCCAGGCAGTTAAAGATTATTCAAGAGAGCTCGAGGGGTAGCTGGTTTTTGCAGCTAAAGTTGCCTAACTTGTGCCAGTGTCCAGGGTGCCAGCCAAGTCCAGAGAAAGATGCATCTCAGAAGCTGAGTCAAGACAGAGAGAGAAGAGAGGGGGGCCCAGGAGAGTACGGTCCTTAGAGTGATTCATGCCACACATTTTTTAAGAAGATCTACTTACTCTCTTAGCAGCTTTCAAATATGCAGTCCGGGGCTATGAGCCATGGTCGCCATGCTGTGCATTACATCCCCATAAATTTTACAACTTTGTACCTTTTGACCCCTTTGCCTATTTCCCCCACCCTCCACTCCTGCCTCTGGCAGCCACCAATCTGTTATCTGTATCTGTGAGCTTGGTTTGGGGTTGGTTTGTTTTCCTTTGTACATTCCACAGACAAGTGAGGTCATCCAGCACTTGTCTTTGTCTGTCTGACTTGCTGCTCTTAGCATAATGCCCTCAGTCTGCATCCATGTTGTTACAGATGGCAAGATTTCCTTCTATTTATGGTTGAATGATATTCCAGTGTGTGTGTCTGTGTGTGTGTGTACATGCATGCATGTGTGTCACATTGTTTTCCTTTGTACATTCCACAGACAAGTGAGGTCATCCAGCACTTGTCTTTGTCTGTCTGACTTGCTGCTCTTAGCATAATGCCCTCAGTCTGCATCCATGTTGTTACAGATGGCAAGATTTCCTTCTATTTATGGTTGAATGATATTCCAGTGTGTGTGTGTGTGTGTGTGTGTACATGCGTGCGTGTGTGTCACATTTTCTTTATCCATTCATCTATCGATGGACACTTAGGTTGCTTCCATATCTTGGTTATTATAAATAATGTTGCAATGAACATAGGGAGTGCATATATCTTTTCGAATTTGTGTTTTTGTTTTCCTTGGATAAATAACCAGAAGTGGGATTGCTGAATCAAAGGGTAGATCTATTTTTTTTAAATATATTTTTATTGATTTCAGAGAGGAAGGGAGATGGAGAGAGAGATAGAAATGTCAGTGATGAGAGAGAATCACTGATCGGCTGCCTCCTGCATGCCCACTACTGAGATTCAAGCCCCCAAACCGGGCATGTGCCCTGACCAGGAATCTAACTGTGACCTCCTAGTTCATAAGTTGAAGCTCAACCACTGAGCCACTATTTTTTGATCTGTGGGCTATTTTTCAATCTTTTGAAGAAGCTCTATATTGTTTTTCATAGTGGCTGCACCAATCTATAATCGCACCAACAGTGTACAAGGATTCCCTTTTCTCTACATCCTCGGCAACACTTGTTATTTCTAGTCTTTTTGATAATAGTCATTCTAGCTGCAGGTGTAAGTTGATATCTCACAGTGGTTTTCATTTGCATTTCCCTGATGATTAGTGATGTTGAGCATCTTTTCATTATCTGTTGGCCATATGTATGTCTTTGGAAAAACATCTATTCAGATCTTCTGTCCATTTTTTTAATCAAATTGTTTGTTTGCCTATGTTTGCTATTGAGTTGTATGAGTTCTCTATATATTTTGTATATTAACCCCTTATCAGATATATGATTAGCAAATATTTTCTCCCATTCAGTAGATTGCTTTTTCATTTTGTTGGTTGTTTCCGTTGCTGTGACGAAGCTTTTTAGTATGATGTAGTCCCACTTGTTTATTTTTGCTTTTGGTACTAGATCACATCACATATTTGATCCTAACACCACCCCCGGAAGAATATACTATTATCCTCAACTTATGTCTCAAGAAAGTCAATAGCTTATTCATTGTTACAAGGCAATGATGAGTCCAGATTCAAACGCAGATCTTCTCATGCCAGATATACCTTTCCCCATATTCCTTTAAACCATGACTTCTTTCTCGTCATCCTCCTGCTCAGAAATATTCAACCCAATTCCATTGTCTCTAGAAAAAAGCTCAAACTAAGGAGCTAAGGAGTCAGCATGTTCCATAAACTTGCCTCTACTGCTCACTCCACAGTGTGTGGGCCCTCTCCAGGTGGGCCTTCCCTTGGGCTCCCCTCTCTGTAGAAATAGATGATTGTTTCTTCTCCACTCATTCAGTCCATTACTTCATAAAGTCCAAGTTTATTCCTGAAATTGTGCAAAATAGCCCTAGTTGTCAACGCGGTCTCTGCCTCTTACCTCTTAGAGCATTTCCTAAGCTCACGTCACCCGATGTCCTCAGGCTGCAGCACATGGGGTCCTAATAGTAGCGTCCTAAAAGCACTCACCAGTCTAGTCCCCACCTGCGTATGGAGACCCCATCACCATGTACCTTCTCCTTCTCCTTCATCCTCACTGAGGCCTTCCTCTTGGGGAGCTTCACCCCAGTTCTGCGAGAACTCTAGCGTCTGCCTTCTGATGCCCTGCCTCTCAGCCCTCCCAGACCCAGAGGGGCCGGGCGTGGTGACCCACACCCAAAAAGGAAGGTCACTCCTGGTCACCTAAAGGTCAAAGCAGCTTTGCTGGTGCCTTCGCTCATCCATCTCACACCCCAAGGACAGAGTCCCAGAGAAACAAAAACAAACCAACGTCTTCGGCCTCCTCCTGCCGCCCTTTCCCTGGTGGGACTCCGTTGGGATGAACACAGACCCCATGCCGCCCCCTCTCTTCTTTGTGTTTCTCAAAATGACATTAGCCACTAGGTTGTGGCTGCTTACTCTGGGCCAGGCAGTGTGCTAAGCACCTGACAACTTACCTCGTTTAATGAGCACTTGGTAGGGTAGGTATCCTTACTTATTCATTTTTCAGAGTAGCCTCTCATAGCTCCAGGAGCTTAAGAAACTCGCCCAGGGTCACACAGTTTCTCAGGGTCCGGCCTCTCCTAAAGTCCTCGCTTAACCAACAATATGCTGCCCGAGCTACCCAAGGCGCAGCCTCCCCTGCCCTCGCCAGGCAAAATCAAAAGCCCTTTCAAATGAGCTCATGCAAAGCCGCTCCTCAGGCACCTGCTCGCAGAGGCGCTCGGACGTGCTGTATCCGCTGTTCTAAATCATTGCTGATGCGTCCTGCGTGCTGACTACGTGCCCGGCACTATTCCAAACACTTTGCATTATTAATGCACTGAAGCCTCGTGACCACCCTGTAGGGTAAGTATTATTATGATCCCCCATTTCACGGATGAAAGCAAAACAGCAGCACTTGAAAGGACACAGCTCCTAAGTGGCAGAGCTGGGACGAGGACGCAGGCCGCCAAGTGCCCGTGCCCACCCTCTCACCACCCTGCTACTGATCACTGAGCACCTACTATGCTCCAGGCACTGGACCGGGTCCTCTCTTACATTTTATCTAATCTTCCCAACATTCCTGCGAAAGGGTTACGTCCTTAGTTTTACAACCAAGGAACCTGAAAGTCAGAGAGATTACATAAACCTGCCGAAGATCTTGGTTAGTAACGGTAAACATCCAGATTCCACCAGCTCGAGAGGCCGTCTTGTCAAATCATTTGCCTTTTCAGACACATGATTTTTCTAGAGCCCCAACCCGATTCTCCCCTCCCTCCTCCCAGGGTCTCTCTGAGAGCTCTTGCTGGGTCTGTGTTCTGGGCACAGATAGGAGGAGGAGAAAGATAAAAGAAGGTGGTGGCTGCCAGCTGCAGCTTCAAACAAAATAGAGCCACATTTACAAAGGCGCCAGGGCTGGTTGCCTAGCAACAACTGTCTGCCTCCCCAACCTGCTCCGTTCCATCCTTACCCACCACGCATGACACACACCCCTTGGCCTGCAGTGCCCTCTGCGACATCTCCCTTCGAGGCCGCCTTTGTTCATTTTAACCTGATTTTCTGAGCAAATGCTTGCAGCTGGCAACTTGCAGGGAGTCCAGGAAATAAATGTGTCGCGCAGATGGCCTTGGGGCAGGCAGAACAGAGCTGCCTGCCCTGCGCGGCCCATACCTTGGCACTCACAGGTTAGCCAATGCTGTGGGAAGGGGAAGGCCTCATTTCAGGCTCTTTGTCATCTCCCTAAAGGTTTTTCGTCTTTTTCTTTTTTAATTTAAAGAGTTTTGTGTTTCACATATGTCAGGTCCTTTAAATAGTTCCTTGAAATCGAAGTTTAACTGGAATAGAGCTAAAGTAGACTGTCTGCATTTATTTTTCATCTTATCTCCCATGTTTGGAGTTAAGAGGCTCTTAAATTTAAACTTATCTTCAATTCAGCCAGCCCAGAAGGCCTTGGGGCTATTTTTGTCCTAGAGTCTTCAAGGGAGGTCGGACAAGGCAGAACAGACATTCTCTGAGCTCTTCCTTCAAGCCCCAAGGCCAAGGGGGCAGTGGCCTTGCAGCCACGGCCAAGCCCAGACGTCGTCTCTGACTTCGCAGCCAGCAGGTGATGCTGACCGGGAGCCAGGGCTGCACCGTCCCTCCCAAGGGCCCCTTTGTCCATAGCAGGAAAGAAAAAACATCAACAGTTACATTTGACAACTGAGCTGGTATGAAGACAAATACCATCCAGGCTGGGTTCACTAATAGATGCCTTTATTATTTGTAGTGTTCTATGTTTATTCTTTTCTGATGTTAAACGACATTGAAACATTCCCTGGGCCCTGAAAGGATTGCGGGTCCAGGCCACTGGGCCGAGCGTGCCTAATGGATACGATGGCCCTGCTGCCAGCGGTCCAGCCATATTGAGGTGTGGGTGCCCAGCCCTGTGCTCGGGGCCCTGAGGCTGGGGAAATGGGAGGTGTGGCCTGTATTCAGGCAGCTCCCAGCCCGGCTGAGGAGGAAAACAAAGGCGATGACCTGCAATCACCGAACCACAGGCACTCCGTTTGGCAGCCACCAAAAAGTCATCTAAGCCCCTTTCTTGAGCAGTTGCCTCTCACTTAAAGAAATAACGCACTTTGAAAACACAGCAGGTTGAGAAGAGTCCAGAGAGGTGGGAGGTGGCTCTGGCAAGCACGGGGGTGGATTGGATGTTGGGGTTAGAGAAAGTCAAGGG